GGTTAACAGAGGAAGAACAATGATTTCAAGCACCACCCTCCTTTTAAAGCTTCCAGTCTGTTATTCTAACTCAATCAGCATGACAGAGTGATCTCCAGCCTTGTCCTCGTCAACACTCTCACCTGTGTTAACGAGAGAATCACTGACATGATGTCAGCTGGTCCTTTTGTGGCAGGGCTGAAATGCAGTGGAAATGTTTTTGGGGGATTAAGTTCATTTTCATGGCTTTGTGGGACTTTGCAATTAATTGCAATTCATCTGATCACTCTTCATAACATTCTGGAGTATATGCAAATTGGCATCATAAAAACTGAGGCAGCAGACTTTGTGAAAATTAATATTTGTGTCATTCTCAAAACTTTTGACCACGACTGTATATCTTATCAACTGTATCATTCATATACATCCATCTTGATGGTCATTGAGGGTCGTTCCACCAATTCGGTGCCTTTGAGAAGTGTAACTTGGTCAAAAAAATATTTTGGTTTCACCTAATTTTAACATTCTGTCATAAAAAGCACATCCATCTTGATGGTGTATATACTATACCTCAAGATGCATCACATGGATGGCCAATCCTCTCTGTAGGTCAAAGACCACAATAACTCAATAATAACTCAATAATTTAATCTAGATCCTGAACTACATCTTTCAGTCCTGGGGACATAGGTCAGAGAGAAGAGGCAACACAAGTTCCATGCCACCACCCTAAAACAGAACTGGTATACCTCACTGGTACACCTCAAATAGGTTTAAACCGAAACCATAACTGAACTATGGTTCGATGCTAGTTAGATTCTGGGCGTCCTATAGAGATCCTTTAATTCCTATGAATTATAGGATCTCTATTGGGCCTGACAACTTCTGAAATATCACTTGTATCAATAATCTCCGGTCCAATCTAGGTAGGCAGCCAGAGGAGGGAGAGGGCAGACCGGCCACAGGCAGGGTCACAGAGGGACAGGACCCTTACAGCCCATTGGTTCAAACCTCTAAGATCCTTTTAAAGACTGCAGGTTTAAATAGTACACATTGATAGTGATTATTATGAGAATATGGCACGTCATTTAGATCAGAGTTAATGCTCTAAGCAAATATACAGTTGAAGTCGGAAGTTTACATACACTTAGGTTGGAGTCATTAAAACTCGTTTTTTAACCACTCCACAAATTTCTTGTTAACAAACTATAGTTTTGGCAAGTCGGTTAGGACATCTACTTTGTGCATGACACAAGTAATTTTTCCAACAACTGTTTACAGACAAATTATTTCACTTATAATTCACTGTATCACAATTTCAGTGGGTCAGAAGTTTACATACACTAAGTTGACTGTGCCTTTAAACAGCTTGGGAAATTCCAGAAAATGATGTTATGGCTTTAGAAGCTTCTGATAGGCTAATTGACATCATTTGAGTCAATTGGAAGTGTACCTGTGGATGTATTTCAAGGCATACCTTCAAACTCAGTGCCTCTTTGCTTGACATCATGGGAAAATCGAAATAAATCAGCCAAGACCTCAGAAAAAAATGTGTAGACCTCCACAAGTCTGGTTCATCCTTGGGAGCAATTTCCAAATGCCTGAAGGTACCACGTTCATCTGTACAAGCAATAGTACGCAAGTATAAACACCATGGGACCACGCAGCCGTCATACCGCTCAGGAAGGAGACGCGTTCTGTCTCCTAGAGATGAACGTACTTTGGTGCTAAAAGTGCAAATCAATCCCAGAACAACAGCAAAGGACCTTGTGAAGATGCTGGAGGAAACAGGTACAAAAGTATATATTTCCATAGTAAAACAAGTATCTATATCGACATAACCTGAAAGGCAGCTCAGCAAAGAATAAGCCACTGCTCCAAAACCTCCATTAAAAAGGCAGACTACGGTTTGCAACTGTACATGGGGACAAAGATCGTACTTTTTTGAGAAATGTCCTCTGGTCTGATGAAACAAAAATAGAACTGTTTGGCCATAATGACCATCGTTATGTTTGGAGGAAAAAGGGGAAGGCTTGCAAACCAAAGAACACCATCCCAACCGTGAAGCACAGGGGTGGCAGCATCATGCTGTGGGGGTGCTTTGCTGCAGGAGGGACTGGTGCACTTCACAAAATAGATGGTATCATGAGGAAGGAAAATTATGTGGATATATTAAAGCAACATCTCAAGACATCAGTCAGGAAGTTAAAGCTTGGTCGCAAATGGGTCTTCCAAATGGACAATGACCCCAAGCATACTTCCAAAGTTGTGGCAAAATGGCTTAAGGACAACAAAGTCAAGGTATTGGAGTGGCCATCACAAAGCCCTGACCTCAATCCTATAGAAAATGTGTGGGCAGAACTGAACAAGGGTGTGCGAGCAAGGAGGCCTACAAACCTGACTCAGTTACACCAGCTCTGTCAGGAGGAATGGGCCAAAATTCACCGAATTTATTGTGGGAAGGTTGTGGAAGGCTACCCGAAAAACGTTTGACCCAAGTTAAATAATTTAAAGGCAATGCTACCAAATTATAATTGAGTGTATGTAAACTTCTGACCCACTGGGAATGTGATGAAAGAAATAGAAGCTTAAATAAATCATTCTCTCTACTATTATTCTGACATTTCACATTCTTAAAATAAAGTAGTGATCCTAACTGACTTAAAACAGGACATTTTTACTAGGATTAAATGTCAGGAATTGTGAAAAACGGATGTATTTGGCTAAGGTTTATGTAAACTTCCGACTTCAACTGTATATATATTTTTTTATTTTATTTTTTGTAGTAATTGTACACATTTTTTCTCCTCAATTTCATGATATCTGATTGGTAATTACGACCCACAAGGAGCCGGTAGAGCGCGATGAGCCAAGGAAAACCCCCTGGCCAAACCTAACCTGGTTGGGCCAATTGAGCCCCGCTCTATGGGGCTCCCGGTCACAGCTGGCTGTGACACAGCCTGGGATCGAACCCTAGGCTGTAGTGGTGCCTCAGCACTGCGATGCAGTGCCTTAGACCACTGCACCACTCGGGAGGCCTAAGTTGTTTTTATGTTGACCTATGAAATGGCTAAATGTATTCAAACATTTCAGAGGAATGTATTCAAACAGTTCAGATCCACTCCAGTAGAGGGATTCGGGGTGTTAAGGAACCCAAGACACAGTTAGACTCTACTGAGCACATGCAAGCAAGCAGAACTAGGCATACATATGAGTAGGTTAGTGTTAGTGTGTATTTGTGTGTGAGCGTGTGGGAACGTGTGTGTGTGACCATGTTCATGTGAGAGCAATGTGAAAAAGGGTGAAGATAGAAGATGTTTGTGTGCATTTACAGTGCAGTATGTGTGTATGTGCGTGACCGTGAGCGTGTGAGAAGGATTCTGAAGCAGGGGTCTGTGTCACTTTAAACAAGCACGTTGGGGACAGAGATCGGAGAGAAGAGGCAACACTAGTTCCATGCCACCACCCTAAAACAGAACTGCTTCAGAATATTCTGAAGTTCTTAAAAGTAGTTTAAAAAATATATATATATACACAGATATAGAGAAAAGGAACAGAAGCTGTGGAAAAGCTCAAGCGGAGAGATAGAGAGACATAAGGAGAGACAGAGAGAGGGAGAGAAAGAGAGTTTAGTAGGAGAGATACGGCATGCACTGAGCGACAGTCAGTGGTCTACCACTATGAGGCCATGCAAGCCCAAAGCCTAGCACACAGTCAGTCACAGTAACAGTCACAGTCGCCCTGGAACCTCCAGTGGTATCCAGGACAGGTGGAAGGAGTGTAGATAAACAACCCCCACACGCACACGGATCAAAAACACACTGCGGAGAACATGAGAGAAGAAAACAGCAGGACAAAGCTGAAATCATGAGTTCAAGAGTGTGTGTGAGGGTGTGTGAGTGTGTGTTAGGGTGTGTGAGTGTGTGTGAGAGAGGGACATTGTTGATATTTGAGAGTTCATACTTGTACTGTAGACTTATAAAGTGGGAAGGTGGAATGTGTGTGTAATATGTGATATTATGTGATATTGTGCTGGAATATTGGGTGTATGTGTGTATTGCTACTAGGATCTCAGGTCTCAGAATGTTAGGTGTTTGTGTGTGTGTAATGCTGGGGATGTTATTTCTACTGAGATGTATTACTGTGGCAGCCTGAGGGTGATATAACTGACCACCAGCAGGGGGCACCACTTGGTCCAGCAGCTTCATGCTGGTCCTCTTCCAGATCTTCTTGATGACGGCTCTCAGCTCCTCGTTGGCCTGCTCCAGATTACCTACAGCACAGGTAAACACCACACAAATGTCCATCACTATCAACACAAACTATACAGTTGGTAATGTTGTGGTGTGTGTGTGTGTGGGGGGGGGGGGGGGAGTGTCTCCTACCGTCTGTTTTGATCTTCAGGGCGGTGCGTACTAATGCAAATAAGTAGCATTGAACATGACGGTGCCGTCACTGTTTAGAGGCATGTTCATGGCCACCAGTCTCTGAGAGAGGGAGTGAGAGGAGGGTTATTTATATGTGTGTTGTTTATAGGGTTGAACACATGCCAGATCAATTAGAGAGAGAGAAAGAGATACAGAGACAAAGACAGAAAGAGAAAGACAGAGCGATAGCAGAGAGAGAGAGAGAAAGAGAGAGAGATAGCAGAGAGAGAGACCAGAGAGACCAGATAGATGGTTACCTTGCAGGCCACTCTATGAGGGCAGAGTTTGCCGAAGCCCAGTGGAGGCTGATGCGCA